AGGAGCAGCAGTAGCAGTAGTAGCAGTAGTAGTGGTAGTAGCAGCAGCAGCAGCAGCAGCAGGAGGAGGAGGAGGAGGAGTAGTAGTAGTAGTAGTAATAGTGGTAGTGTCAGTAGTCTTCCCCTAAGGTCTACGGTACGGTCAATACGGGTTCCTCGAAAGCACCGATAGGAATTTCTCTTCCGGTTCGGGGAACCTGGCTGGGCGAGCACTAGTCAAGCCTGTGTAAAAGGTCAACAGGGTCAGCTTAGCTCGTGTGGATGAATGTTCTGTTGTTGCATGTGGTGGTGGTTTCTGTGGGATTGAGGTTTCGATGTTGTCTTCGTCTAAAGCTTTGTGGCTGGCGTTCATGGTCTCGACAAAGGCTGCAGGGGATTGTAGAGTTTACGCATTAATACCCACATCATGCCATGTCAATTGTTGTAGGGTGTTTTCGGGTGTAGAACGCAGGGATTGTGCTTGCGATTGGTTCACCTACATCCTTATTTGAAGAACATGACATCCCTTCTCTTGTCGAGTTTGCTGCTTCTTGAATCGTTTGCTTGAGCTTCCTTCCGTTCTTCCTTCCTTCCTTCCTACCTTCCTTCCTTTCTTTCTTCCTTCCGTTCTTCCTTCCTTCCTTTCTTCCTTCCTTCTTCCTTCCTTCCTTGTGTCCTTTCTTTTTGGTGGTCTAATTGTTTGATCCTAATCTAAGTTCTTCTCCCTATTTAATTTTGTGATCCTTCTTTAGGACAAGAAGTGACTACAGTGACTACAAGCTTCCTAAGCTTGCGACGTGGTCGGAAACAGAGTGCGGTTTTCGCCTGCAATTCTGGGAGTCCTCTTTTACCCGTTAAGAGAGCTCGCACCAGCCTCCATTGCCACAGGCAAGTCCATGCCGGCCATTACCGACGGAGCCTAGGCACAATGAATGGCTTCAAGCTTTTCGTGCTCGACCTCTTCAACGGATTGAGCTTCAGATGTCACTGAGGAGTTGTCCCAGGGTTTCTGCTGTTGCCTCCATGGCACGCTCCTAGGAGTCGCGTGGAGGAGCTTGAGGGACCGACAGCTTAATCCCGCACTTCGGCTACGGCGTGGCCTCTTCGAGGAGCTCGACAGCTTTGTCAAGCGAGCTTGGCTTGTTGCCGATGCTGCGCTGTTTCCTGGCCCAGACGCGGTCGCTGCATCACTGCAAGGCCTATGGCCGAGCTCAAGTCTCGCATTCGTTCAGCCAGACCTTGCCTTGACTCATGGGAGTGGATGCTTCCTGCCACGTGACCAGACGGCGGCAAACCACTCTGCGATGTAACACATGTCAGGCAAGACCCTCGCAGTTCGCTGCTCACTGACCTGGTTCACCTCGGCCAAATCGCATGAACTTCTGACTTCACAAAGCGCAATGCCACATGTAAAGGCGGGCTCAGGAGTCCAGACCGAGATTTGCGACTAAGCCATTTGCACTGATGGATCGGTGATACAGCCCTGTACTCACACCTCCAGGAAAAATCAGCTCACAGCTCTTTTGTAATACCCTGTGCTCTCGTTTGATCTTCAGCCTGATGGAGCCGATGAAAAGGGGATAGCCGTGGAGTTTGCAGACTTTGCCTCGAGGTATTGCATGCTGCTTGCGCCATCTTGCGCCGGTGATGAAACGACCTACAAGTTTGTCAGCTCGCGTCCTCCTGCTTGCTGGCCACAACATAGGCCCACTCCTCTGCAGCTGTTGTGTGGCTTGGTGCTATTGGTTTCACGGGCGAGATGTGCCTCATCAGTGATGCTCAGATCTTTGTACCTCAGCCCGTGAACCGAAACCAGAAGTGGAAACGAAGTCGAGCATTGGCTTCCGGCGTTGCGTAGTCATTGACCTTGCTAGCCCCAAGGACAATGTTCCAACACATGCTCGGTTCGGTCTCTGTGTCCCCTGCACTGCCACTCCAAGGATCTGCATTTGTGAAATGGAGAAAGAGCAGCGTTGCCTGCAAAGGTCCCACCTAAGTGCTGCCTAACAGCACTCTTGCTCCAACTCCGACCTCCTTTTCGCTCATCATTTCGAGCTTGGAAGAGCAGATCTGCACGAAGGCTCTGCGAGATATCCTGCAAGTCGCTCCCCCGACACAAAGGATCCTCAAGAGATCTGCTGCCCTCCCTACCTGACATAGAGCCAGTTCAGCTGAAATTCACCGGCTGCATTAGGCGCAATTCATCGCACGGTATGCTTCCAAAGCAAGCTATTGCTGGGTTAGCTTTGCAAAAACTTCTGAGATTACCATGACTTTTTGTGTTCCCACTGTTGACAACTTCTTCTGCCATGCCACACACTGTGACACGCCGCCCAGATCCCCCAGTGCATCGGTACCCAGCAGTAGTTGCGTGACTTCCGTCCTGTTTACGTCCGCGTAAATCTCACAGATCACTGGAGCAGTTGTGTCTGCTTGGCACGTGAAGCACCGGCTCAATGAAGCGCTAAAGCGGACCCTCAAAACACATCTCCAATGATGCTGACCGTGCTGGGATGCTCGGCATTGTGCGAATTTGCTTATCCATGTGCTTTACAGTCTTTGCTCATTGAAGGCCGTTTGCAAAAACCACGCCACCCCGAAAGAGGACCTGAACCCTTAACAGCCTTACCCAAGCCTACAGAGGGGTTTTGATTCGCGCCTACACCATCGAAACCGTAAACTCGAGCCCATTTATCAGCCCGAATCCTGGAACCGGCTTTAAACCCCAAGCCCACAACCCGTGCCCGAACCCTAAACTGCGAACCCCTGAAAACTCTCCTTAAACCCCACACAACAAAGAAGCTGCAAAGCTCCGCACCGTGAACAAATCCTAACCCCGCACACACCGCGCACAAAGGAAACCTCTCTGTATCCAGCTGCAACCCAACCCACAAGCGATGCAAACACCATAACCCCTGACGGCTTATTTCCAGCCACTTCAGCCGCACACGCACAATAACATAACGTACACGGGCAAAGCCTTAAACAGCAATTTCAAATCCCCGCACACACCGCGCACCAACCCTGACCCTCATGCCCTCATGTTCATACCCTAATTAAGCTCTAAGCCTCGCACAAAGCATGACAGGAATCCACCATCAATTCATGAAACCTTTAAACCCTGGCCCACGTATATGCACGGAGCGAAACCCTAAAAACCTTTGAGTGCTGCACGCAGCATGCACCGGATACCCGTCAATTCCAATCATAAACCCGAAGCCCCAGACACCCAAGCCGCGCAACAAACCTGAACCGCCTTATCCTCAAGACCCTAATCACCCTTAGTCCATGCACGAACGGTGCACACGTGAACGGATATCGTCATCGTCGTGTCGTAGCGCTTTCCCGTGTTTGCGCCCCTTTCCCGAACATGAGACGATATCGTCTTCTCGGATTTGAATCCATGTTTCGGACGCTTTGTAGCTTGACTGCATAATACCATATCCCACCTAGGCCTTCAAGCACGGGCCTAGGTGGTCAGACGGCAACATGAAGGTACGAAGGTCCCATTCGAGCAGTCTGGGATTCCTGGCTTGGCACTGCGGGTTCCTGCCCCCTTGTGCTGCTCGTGGGAGACGGCTCGCCAGAAGCTGAGGAAAATTCAATCGGTTTCGTGAGCTTGCGCAAACCACCCCCGTTCGCAGCATCGTCCGCAGACGCTTGATCAATGATGTACTGTTCCTCCAGCGTCTCAGGCCTGGCTCTTTCTGCTGCGCGTGGGGCATTTCCGGATCCCAGTTGTGACAAAGGAGCAACAGCGCCGCCTCTTGCCGTCCTCGGGTCACCGAACCCTCCAGCAGCCACGACTGTGGCCATTCTCTGCCAGGCCGTGGGAAGCGAGGAGAGATTCAAAGTTGGCTTGGGCGGGTAGGCGTTGCAACGCTCCGTTCTGTTGAGAGTCGATCATAAGGTTCAATCATCAGACGGCATCGAGACTCACTCCTTGCTTCATGTTACAGTCAACCCGTCGCCAGTTCCCACAATGTACCGTCTCACAGTCTAACACATCGTCTACGTCCTTCACGTTTGCCGAAGCCATGCAAAGCCACACCTTCCCACCTTGCGTGTGACCTTCTGCAGGGCCGTCACAAATCAAGCTAGCTAGCCGAAGACCTTCATGTGATTGCTTGGCTAAGGAAACAACTTCGATGCTTCCCTTCCGGATCTTGTCGCTGGCGCTGGCATACACCGTCGGCACGAGTCCGAACCACCAGTGTGTTGAGCACTTCTCTTGGAGGTCTCAAAGACCGTCCACACGGGAAGTTGAAGCGCGTGAAGCGGTGTGTCCAGGTCCGGGCCTTTCGCAGGTCCAGACCTGAAAACCAATCAGGCTTCTGTGTCAGGGCACATACCGCACAGGTCCGCGCAGTTCGGAGCGCAAGGACATGTCTGGAACACAACCTCCGAAATGCAGGAAGACATCGACATGCTAGTCCTCCCGGTCTCTGGGTCGGCTCCGAACTCGAAGAGTCCGGCCCTGTAGAGAAAACGACATAGCATCTCCTTGATCCTCGTTGTCTTGCACTAAATCAGCTCAGGTCTCGGCGCCATCGATCCGAAAGTGGAGACCACCTTCAACCGGAACCTGCGCCCAAATCGACGATGCACGAGTCCCTGCTTGCGACTAGACTCCGGCCTTTGGTAGATCTGAAACTCGTCGAGAGTGTTGGAGTCACTGCTTGAGGCCTCAGGTGCGGTGGTCAAGGCCACTGTCCCAATGGAGGTGTTTGTGTAGAGAGGCACGAAGTGCATGTTTGAAGCTCTCATGTTCACTTGAAGCATCAGCTCCTGCGCAAGGATGACACGCAAAGCGTGGTCACTGCCACCCCCTGTCCAGGTACCCTAGTCCTGAGACCCAGGGTGTGAAGGGATCGTTCGTTCAGGGATTCAGGGCTGAAAGGTGGTTCATGCTGGAGGTCCGAGGTGAACGATGGTGGGGGATACGAATGAGATGGATGTCAAGAGTTCTTTCGAACGGTGTTCCTCTTCGGATGATTCGATCTCCCACTCCCTCTCACTTTAGCATTATCGCCGAAGGCAGCCCAGAACAACAATGAGGGGGAACGCGCAAGAAGGCGTGAAGAATGCTCCTCACATCCTGGACAGTTTCAGAGAGAGTATGACTTCTTGCAGCAGGCGGACGTCGGTTTCATAGTGCAAATTGCCGTGATGTTGGCTGTTCCACCTTCTTGAATTACTATTCGCAGAACTGCTCTTGTAAGGCCGCTTGATCGTCTGCACATATCTACTCTGCGGGCTCTCACTCACGGTGGACGTAGACGGGCGACTTTCCGATCTTTGGGATCTGCCAAGCATGAAGTTGAGGATGAAGCTGGGCCGGTTGAATTTCATACAAACCCGACCGCAGGCTGACACGTTAGTCCAGGAGGGGCCAAACCCCTCAACAATGCAAGGTGTGGTTGTCCATCCGCTGGGAAACTCAGCTGCTTGGTACCGCCAGCATGTTCGCTCGGTTCGCTGCACGGCTTGGTGGGGTCTTGTTCCGACGACCATCGCCAGAACTCCTCTCGCTCTCAACCTCGCAAAGCAAAACACTATCTCCGACACGTAGCAGTGCTGCATCGACTGGCCTCCATGCACGGCCGCACTCAGTCGTCGGGAGACTGGAGAGCCAGTGCCATAGCTTTGGCCAAGCGCTCCAACAGATCACCGAAAAGCAAATTCACTGAAGACGCACGTAAAGGACTGTCGCAGCATCCTACCGACGTCGGTTTGAACATGACTCGATCCAAAACACTGCACTGGACTGCTCGCAGGAGGCTTTCCCGGGTGTACGGGCCCGCGCATGTTGGCCTGCGGCTGACTGCCTGAAGAATGAACTGTATCATGTATCTATGTAGTTGGCACCTATCATCCTACTACCTGAGCAGATGTAAGCGATGCTACGACAGGGCAAGGAGAGTGCAGGCCAAGAACTCCGTCCGCATAATCTGTGTATGAAACGTTTCGTAATAGACGACTTCGTTCTACAACTACAGCAACAACCAGAATAAACCTTGTTGCAGCTACTCAGCTACTCCTCTCCCTTCCTCTCCCGCCCCGCAGAGGGATAGACGGGCTCGGGATCATGTCCTGTTCTTTGGGGCTCACTCCCAAAGCTAGCATCACTTATGATAGGCACTGTATCGCCGTGAAAATGCGCCTTCTGCTTTGTGTCGTTCGCATTCGCGCTGATGTCGTCTATTGCAGGCACCGCGTTTGGCTCCGTAGGCTGTGCTGCGTGGTGGATCCGGGGTGGGTTTTCATTTCGCTGCCGGTATGAGGTACGAAAGAACAGCGTTGCTTCAATCTTTGCCGAAGGACCCAGCTAGAAGTGCACACCAAAATGCGCATCCCTCCACTGTAGGGCAGTCTACTGGACGGCGGGGGTTGAGAGATCTGCCCAGCAGCAGAATGGTCAAGCATGGTGCGCCGCAAAGCAAGTTTGGAGCGTGCTGGCGTCAACATCGCTTCACCTAAACTTTGAGGGTGAAACGCTGCGGTTTTTGGCTTTTGGCCAGCCTCAAACAAGGGCGGCCAGCTCAAGCGGCAGGGGGCTTGCAGGCACTGCCATGCAGCCTCCCCCGAAAAGCTTCCGTCTATGCCGTAGAGAACGGATTGCTTGCTTGGCGCTTACATTCTGCTAGAGTGACGTGTTCTCCTTGAAGCTTCAGTCGCCTGATGATCCTGATGTGCCTGTCACATAGATGAAAAATGCCAAGCTCACCTCAGATGTTCATGCTTACGTCGCTGGATGAACTAACCGAATCCTCTTCTGCTTGGTGCCCTGCACCGGCCAGCACAGGTACCTCTGACTTATCGTCTGGTGCGTCACGACGCGGATTTGCTGCTGATGGGCTGATGGCTGTCTCAGAGATTTTGTGGGGCACGGCAATGCGCAAGCACAGCTGTCCACGGCCTGCGGCAAGTGAAGACGCCTTCGAGGGCAGCCACGAGCTCAGAACTTCAAGCTGCAAGCATCTGCAAGCACCGCAAATCGTCCGGTCCTCCTCTTGCCCAGCAGAAACCATCGGCTCCCTCGCGGAGTCGCCTCAAGGCAGCAATGCGAAGAGAGGCCTGAGAGGCCTCGAATCATCCGGCCTTGGCCCTGCAGCATTGCCCATGCCCATGACAGATCCTGCACGTAGCCCTCAAAAGCGCAATCCCATTTCAACGCACTGCTGGCGGCCGGACGCCGCCTGAGGTGTGTCGATGAGGCGGTCGACGTAACCAGTCCGCATTGGTGCACGGTAGCCTTCGGCTTCCGAGTCCTGAACCGGGGCAGCATCCTGATGCATCCTGCTCGCTGACTCAGCGCACCTCAAGCTGCTGGTAATGTGCCAGCTCGGCATCTTCTGCCTTGGTGCCGGCGATACAAAGCCGAAACGTTTTGGCCGCCAAGAGCCGAACCATCGAGTTGGCATCAGCGGCCTGACCTTCACAGCGGCAGAAATCTGAACGCCTTCCGATGTCCTGCAGACGCTGCCTCGGAACTCCTGGAGTGGGTGACTTCCTGTTCTAGGCTTCTGCTTTCTTAGGCTAGGTGACCCGGCAAGGACCATCTTGCCTCCAGGGTTCAGGTGTGCTGCAAGTTGTCGAGAATATTCCTGCAACTTCCAACCCAGCGTGTCCCATTCGAGGGCTCTTGCCGGATCTCCTCATCAGCCTCCAGTTGCCTCAGTCGTGCCTGGCAGAAACAGATTGGCACCACTGGACCACGGAGGTGAGCGGCATGCAGCAGATTGAATCAACAACATGACATCCGAAAAACCCATTCTAGCTGCATCAGTTGCAAACAACATTTCAGTGGCCTCTTCTTCCTCTTTGGCAAACTGTTCTGCCTCCACAGTGTGGCAGTGCGTAACATCCGGTCTGTCCTGAATTCCCGTACCCTCCACAGCTTGGGCACAGGCGAGCACGGCATCCTGCTCCTCCTGTCAGCCAGATCTACTCCAAGCATCCAAGCAACACGCGTGCTTTGGAAATCCTTGAGGGTTGGGAACATTCCTCTTGCGGCTAGTCTAGTGCAAACTCTTTTTGAAGCATTTGCCCCAAAACTCTTTCGTTTCGCTCCTCAAAAGCCTTTCACTGTCAAAGAGCCTTTCTCAGACCCTGCAAAGCAGTTGCTTCCGAGATAAGGTATGGGCTGTGGCTAGGCGATCCTGCAAGTTCTAGGCCTTGCAGACCGTGCTACGGTTGAAGTGCTCAGATTTAGCAGTTTTACAATTGACTGAGGCGAGAGATCGTTTGGGCGATGCTACAGTTCACGAAGCGGCATTATTGTCTCCGCAAAGTAGAACTGCCCTGGCCCGTGTTGCCTTCGAAGCCCTTGAGGCAATGCAAGCTGGCCTGTTGCCGCAGCTCCTGTTTTCGCTGTTCTTCTGCAGCTTTCTCCTCCCGCTCGCGAAACCTCCCCAGGACAGCTCTGATATTGGTTTCCTGCTGGTGACTAGTCTGGACACTGAAATAAGAGAATGCTTTCGACAGGAATGAAGTCCGCAAGCTCAAACTTCGGCACCCGCTGAACATCATGAAGGCGTCGTTTTCCCTAAAGCTTTTGCCTCTGATGGTGTCGTTGCCGAACGTCTGCCAACTCTTGCAATGGATGAGCCTTGGAAAGATCGATCGCATTTTCCTCGCTTGCTACCTCAGCCTGTCCAGGGCACGTCATCCGCTTTGGCATCCGGAGGTCCTGGCCCGGACATGTGGACCGGACCTCGGTCAAAGGCTACGTCCCACGCCGCTTCATGGTGTGGAATGGGGCCTGGGGTGCTTGCGTCCAGTCAGGCTAGTCCCGGACAGGGAGCTACAGCTTCCGAGAACCATCACACATCAAGCCAAGAGAAGCAATTCAAGCATCAACCGGGAGGATGACCACATGCAGGTGCAAGATTGTGCGAAAGATTAGCGGCCCTCACTGTGATGAGATGAGGACATTGCCTCACGCGGCTTAACAGCACTTTGGCTCAGCCGCGAGACAGACGACGGCAACATGGCTCCGTAGACTCCTACCATCTCCTACCTCTCGCCAACAGGCAGGTGCAGCCCGGTCAGTCACCAGCAAGGTATGCTTCGAAGTCGGAGAAGGTCACAACTCCAGACTGGCACGTTCGGAGCAGATCGCTTGAAGCAAACCCTACACTCGGCCGCCTTCGAACGATCCATATCATGGAAGAGCTCATGCGCACGGGTTGCAATCGGACGACAGGTCTCCACACACCTCGAGAAAGTACAGCTTTTCGAGCCTCTGTGACCCTGACAGAGTACGCCGAAGTGAACAAGCAGGCTGCGGACACTTCATGAAACGATCGCAGGTCGAGGAAGCCGTTGTCGTGCTTGTCCAAGGCAGAAAACCTAGTGTGCAGCGGAGTGAGAAAAGACGCTGTTGGTGTCGAACCAAGGCATCTGAGCATTTCAGTCTAGGGCAGTCTCAGCGCGCGGTCGCGGTCGCCATAAATCCGCCTGCAACGCGCATATGTCTATGAATCGAAGCTCAGTCAGCTCGACACCAATTGCATCATGAACCCAGGCGACTTCCAGACAGCAAGAGAGACAGACAGATAGATAGACAGACAGGGGGAGAGAGATTCCGGAAGTCACGCGGACAGACGATGCCTCACCTGAAATACTAGGAGAGATTCGGAACCATTGCATGCTCGCGCCTGCGTTCCTCCACTAACGCTAGAAAGGCCTGCCCGATGCAGAATACAAACAGAACGAGGCGGCGACTGCAAAGAACCGAACCTCCAGAAGGATACCCTGCGCTTCCGGCCTCCGCTTTTCCCTGCTCTTCTCACATCTCTCGGTTAGTTGAGTCCCTGACCTGCAGTACTGGGTCATTAAGTCACGCAAATCCTGCCCGCAGACTGCACTTGCACCATGAAAATCGCTTCGGACGCAAAAGCTTTCCTGCTTCTTGAACTTCGTGCCGAATATCGCCCAGACGGCGCAGCCTAGATGTCGCAAGTGGCAGACGCTTTCACAAAACGGCCTGAGGATCCCGCTGAGGTCATCGATGTCCAGGCAAGACTTCCCATCTGCAAGCCGAGAACACTCGAGACTGGCCTTGGCTTAAGGCTTAGGCGCCTGAGAACTTCTCGAAGGCCGCTCTCGGATCCATGTAGGAGCGTCAAAGCCCTCCTACTGTGTTCTCCAGAAGGCGTACACTCCGCACAGTGTCGGTTTCAGTCGCTTCAGGGCAGTGATCAGCACTGCAGCGTGCTTGTACATTCCAGCTGGGAGGCTTAATTGCTCTATTACAAGCAGAGATCAGGCATGCCCATGACCACCCAGGTTGTGTATCGCAATGCAGAATTACACCTTTGATGTTCCTGTACATTGAATCGCAACACAACCCGAGAGAAAAAGCTGCCAGCACGGCGAAAACAAGAATGTTTTGTTCAGGAACAGAAGCTGCTTAGAACAAGCAATCCAACGTGACTGCACACCCAGCTACATACCCCTAGTATCCCCGAGTGGTCGCACCTACCATGTAGATTGTCGGCTGACGGCAGTCGCAAGCTATCAGTACAGATCCACTGCCGTGACCCAAACATCAGTGGCGACGACGAGTCAGAAATATATGTCACAATGACTCACCGCCATTGCTTCAAACGAACAGTGCTCGATGCTCATGCTCGCTTAAGGATTCTTCTGCAGAGCTGCATAGGTGTAATCTGTCATCAGGCCGAGAACCGGGCTCACAAGTGGGATCGGACCAGGAAAAGGAATGACACAAGTTCGTTTAGGAGATGTTGCCGGGCAGACCTTGCTGCAGATACATGCTTATCTATGTGAAGTAGATTAGCATTACTTTCTGGTGACAGGAAAACGAGAGGACACTCCAAGGTGGATGCGCGACTGCAGCAAACTTGCATACTAGTAGAAACAAAGGCAGGCATGCATGTACCTCTGCAATCGGGCCACACCACGTTTTGCCCTCTATGGACATTGCACTCACCCATGCCAGCCACGCCAAGCGCTTCTTGAACCAAGCGAATTGTGCCTGCAAGCAAATCTCCCAAAAAGCATGACCTGCTTGCGACCTATCAGGCTATCCTGCCCCTGTCATATCCGTGTCAGGTCCGCGCGCCTACACTAAACAGAAGCACACCGGCACGTCAACTATGCAGCGACACCAACGCTGCTTCGGTCCTTGGCGACTGCAGTCTTTCCATCGCTTGGAAATAGCCACCAGAAGTCACGTTGCTTCTCGACGGCGTCGACGGACGTGAGAGCTAAGTCTTCCTGGCACGCACAAATCAAGAGCTTTGGGATTCCAACTGTGTCTGGCGGCCTCACGCTTCGCCCATCGCTGATAAAATTCCAATTTCCAGGTCCAGGCTGCAAAGTGTCTTCGCATCAGCCTCCAAAGTGACAAGCGACGGGGATGGAAGGGATTTTCTCGACGGGCCTGAAGCTCCGCTGGTTTTCAGCGCAGCGAAGTGCATGGAAGAGCTTCGCAGCTCTGTATGCACATCGTCGAGACAGCCAGCCTGGCTGACAGCCCGCCCCGAGACACATCGCTGCCCGGCAAAAGTCAGGAACCTTGGGCAGCCTTTGCAATGACATCTGCAGCATGCTGCCTGTCCAAGGCATGACCACATGGCACCACCACGATCGCAGGCAGCAAAGAATGGCTCGCAGAGGCCGGGAAGGGAGAGCGAGAGGGTGAGACAGAGGGAGAAAAGAGAGAGAGAGAGTGAGACAGAGCGAGAAAAGAGAGAGAGGGAGAGCGACAGAGAGAGAGGGAGAACGAGAGTGCAAAATTCCACTATACAATATGATCACTCCAGAGCAACCAATATCAGTATATGTCTCCGCAATCCACAACACAGTCAAGCAAGCATTCCTTTTGTGCGACCAAGCCAGTCCTTGAGCAGTTTCGAGCCAATGCCATTCGGCATCGTAGCATTCATAAATGCATCATGCTCATTGGGATCATTCAAAGGGTCGTGTCATTTTACACAGTCCCTCGATCTGCCCATTCCATGCATTATTCTTGCCATCATCCTCTTCGTAGAGTTCATCCCACCTGGAGCAGTCGTGCTCCAGTCCACCACCATAGCATTGCACCAGTGGCACCATTGTGTGGAGCATAAGTCGCCATTTGGCAAGGCCGGTGCCGGCCAGTGTGGCTCGGTAGCGCCATTCCATGGCCTCATCAAGGCACGGTAGGGCCTGTGGCGAGGGCACGCACATTGGATGATTCATAGGCACTCGCCAGATGCCCATGGAAGCCGTCGACTCATTCCGCAACTTCCAATCCATTTCTCACCCTTCGCCATTCCACTCAAAAGTGGAAATGTGGGGGTCAATGAACTTGGGGGTTGAAGTAGTTGGTCAGTTTCATTCGTTGCTGACCAATCCCAGTCATAGTCCACCTGCGAGCTGCTTCATTCTTCGTCCGTTTGAATATGATAAGCAGAAGGGCTCAGCTGTCTCATTCGGGTGGTACACATTCTGGTTGGCCCATCGGACAGTCTTGCGAAGGGCGGAGAGAGCATTGAAGCTGCCATTCAGCTGTCCACATGGGTTGCGGGACAGATCCAGGCTCCCAGCAGTGTCACACAGTCCCACTGCGAGGCTCATCGGGAGGCGCACCCAACCATTAGCACCTGATGAGTTGATCACAGGTGTCTTCCATTCGATGTACCACTTTCTTTTCGTGAGGCGCATTCGTTGCAAACCACCCGGTCTCCACCATCATTGCATTCGGGTCATTGTGCCCGGCGAAGACATTCTCAGGCGAAATGACGACATTGGACCATTCGAGTGCTCATCAGGGTGGTCGTAGCGTGTGCCTGACAGCCTCACAGGGTACTGGCCCGACCCCCACCCGCGCCGACCCAGTGACAGCTGGGCACTCAGCATTCGATCGGCGAGGTCGCGAGCCTCAGAGGTCAGTCTCTCGCGATTTTCTCCACCGCCATTGAAACATAGCGGCCCAGTCCAGTCCACACTCTGGTGATTTCCGGACCACAATCCATTCTGGTGATCGCGGCTGCCACTTCATGGCTCACTGATTCCGAGGTCGCCTTTGCTGCTGCACCATTCGAGCCAGTGATGCCCAGTGCTGCATCAATCTGTGCAGGGCCACTTGCATTCACATTCTCTTCAGGCTGCGGACCAAGAGTCGCAATCGGGCGGACAAAGGATTCGCCCATTGCCAGTCGATACAAGCCCTGGTGTTCTTCAGGAATCATTCCCATCATGTGCATTGCAACCAGTGTGGTCTGCACTCCCTCATTCTTAATCTCTTCCATGGGCCGGCCACTCAGCTGGGCCAGGGCCTCATGCTGAACTGTAGCTTCGAGGCCCCAAGGCCGGGTTTTAACTTATGTGAATTTTAACTTTGTTACTGCTTCTATGACCGCGCTGGCTAAGTTGGCATCGCTTATCAGGGTATGAAAAAAGCTTGCTTCGTCTCGTACAGATTGGAGGGGTAAGGACTAAACATAATTATTAGGGAACCACTAAACAACCATGATGCGCTGAGCCTGTGGCATCGCCCGGCGCCAGTGCCAGCGATCGCGAGGCGAAGGAAGGGTACAGTCAACCGCTTTTTTCTGGGATGGTTGGGGTGTTTCTCGTGGCTTCTTTGGTCTGTGGCATCCTACTCCCAGTCCTAGTTATGCTAGTTGATTTCCAGCTCGATGCCACCATCTACCCAGCACACCTAAACCAGTACTAAACCCTACTAGCCTCGCAGTAGCAGCCCAGTAGAATAGGGAAGCAGCTCGTCAGTGGCCGGCCATATTCTGGTCCAGGAGCTGCGACACGTCCTTGGCCAATCCGGCCGGGGAACTTCGTCTGCCAACACGATGGTGTGCTCCTGGATACAACAGCCTCTGAATCTGGATTGTCTCGCAAACCTGCGGCAAGGGTTTACGGGCATGGCTTAGGGGCCTACGCAAAAGGAGCCACCCACGACTGAGTTCCGAAGTGAATTCGCCCACCACCCTCCCGGATCCCGAATGATGGAGGACCGCCGCCTATGAATCCGGGCTTAAACCCCAAAGACCGTAAACCACTGTTTGTTTCATAGATGTTTTTCGAAAAGATTGGGCGCGGCCGGATCGTGTCAATTTTGACTTTGAGTCCTCCACCCTAAGCCCGATGCCCAAGCAGCCTGAAAACCCTGCAACATTGCAACCTGGCTCCTCCTTCGACGTGACATGTCAACCCGAAGCAGCAAAGTACCCCAATGAAACCCAAGCCAGGAAACAAAGCTATGAATCAAGTCACGACAATCATCATTAACCGAAACTGCCGTAATCTCGAGTAGGAAAGAGAACCTGAAGTCTCAAAGTCCGAATGTGCCAAGCCTTTAACGTCTTAACTCCCAAACCCTGATCCGAAACCTCAGAACCCGCAACCAAGAAACCCCAAGTCCCACAATCCCATTTGTAAAGGCCAACCGGGTTACCCAAAACCACGGCTAGTCACGGCTAGCTCCAAGTTACGCGGCTACGGAGTCCGCTGAGTGGAAGCCATCCAAACCCTGAAGCCGAGCACCTAGACTCGACCCAGACTCAGACCGAAAATCCCACAGCCTACACTTGTCTACACACCCGTCTCCTAGAGCACAAACCTGACAACCCAAGAATACCTAGTATCCCAGAAAAACAAAATAATTGCAACCCGAAGTCGCAAACTGCCCTAAAACACCAACGTGACAATCCAGAATCCTAGAAGCGCGATCCCCAGTCACCCTGGTCACTCTAGTCCGACACTTCAGAACCAGCTCGAAACAAGATCTAAAGTTGAAGGTGAGCAGGAAGCCCAATGACATGATGTCCCATGGACCGGCCAAGCCTTCTCCAAGCCATCGAACCGTCGCCAAGGAAGGCCTGGTTTCAGTTTGTCGGCACGCCCCGATTCAGGATACTAGCTGCTAGCTTCATTCAGGAGGCTTTATACGAAGAATCAGCTTCACAGACTGATAGATGTGTGTGCACCGTACACTGGCTTACTCAGCTGGCCACGATTTACTGGGATGTACGGTAAGATAGATACACATATTGTCATATTGTCACTTCGTACAACCAACATGCGTTTGACCTGGCAAAGCCTTCAAATCTAACCCCGGACCCCCGAGCCCTTAACCCAGAACCGTTGCCAATCAACCCCAGGTACCCGAAACCCTCCACCCCTTCCTTCCTCGATCCAGGCCTCAATCTGCGAGACCATACCAAACACGCCATTCCCAGTCGCCCCACAAGAACACTGACAAACCGAGGCTCAACCGGAGCAGATCCCTGAAAACTTCCAGTTACTAGCTCTAGTTGAAAGGCGCGTGTATATCTGACACACTATGACACTATGACATCACTATAAAAACCCCATAGGCCAAGATTCGGCCGTCTTCGATGGCTGGCCCCAGCAAATCCGATATGAAACACGCTACATGCAAAAGCCGAAATTACAATACCTAAGCTAAACCCACAACCTGAGACAGCGGAGATGCTCCAAAGGAATTCAACAAAATAAAACCAAACACCAATCTACACCAAATGTCACAAAGAGCAATAGTCTAAACCAGCAACCATCTACACCAACAGTCACAAGGAGCAATACTTTAAACCAGCAACCATAAACTCTGCAAAAATCCCAAACTGAAGCAACAAGGCTTTCAGCCTGAAGCCCAAAACCAGAAAAATTGAAACCTCCACCACAGACCCAAACCCCTACGCTCCTTCCGAGCCCCACGCAGTCGTCCCCTCATGACCGCTTGTCGATGCGAGGCTCGGTGTTTCCAGACACCGGCGGTCCTGTGTCCTATGGTCCGGGGCCCAGGGCTTTTTCGACGATCCTATGGAATGGTCCTATGGTTCGGGGTGAAAGGTTCGGGAACATGGCCTTAGTGGCCCCATGGGCTGGCCCAAGGTGGCACCTCCATCATGGCATGAAAAAAAGGCTTCACATGTTGTCAGGGTCACTCCTGTGTCATTGGGTGGGCTTTAAGTAAACTAACTAAACTGGGTAACTCAACCCTAGCCCTAACCTGTCGTAAGCGAGTCGGCTGGCAGGCGAGACCGCCGCAGCAGCCAGCATGGCCACCGCGGGGTGGCCGAGGAGGGATGAGGCTGAGAACCCGCAACTAAGCTCGCTTTTCGATGAACTACTCGATGCCACCGTCAATGGTGCCTTTGCGACCTAGCAACCTACTTCGTAACCACCCACTAACTCGTAGGGTCGAATGGGCACGGTTACATAGCAAGGTGGGCCGCCGGGCCTAAACCAAACCATGCAGAAGTCACCAAATCATGCTGCCGCAGGAATGGCAGTGCGACTCGACATGGCACCACGCCGCTGGAGTGCAATGTCGTCTCCGGCCAAAGCCATCAGGGCACAGAGACATGCTGCCGTCGCCGAGAGCAGTGTCACCTTGCAACTCAATGCCCGAAGCTCATGGTCGCTGCAGCTGCCACAGCCGGAGCAAGGATACAGGTACAGTGTGGCCCCTTCAAGACCTAATGACTTGTCCCTTGCACGCGCTGCAGTAAGCCTTGCTTGCACTCGCTGAGAAAGCTGATATCAAGTATACGCCACATGGAGCCAACTGTTACGGAGCATATATGTGAGTGGTTGTCATTGGTGAAAGTACATGACTGCCCTAAAGCAAACAAGGGGAAGGGAGGTAAGTAAGGAGAAGGAGGGGAGGGAGGGGAGGGGAGGGAGGGAGACGGGAGGAGGGGAGGAGGGGACGGGAGGAGAGAGGGCAGGGGAGGGGAAGGGAGGGCAGGGGAGGGGAGGGGAGGGGAGGGGAGGGGAGGGGGGGAGAGAAACAAGAAGGAGGGAGCTGCAGAGCAGCAGTGGGACGGGAGGGCGAAAGCCTCGTGACTCCGGAGCGCCAGTGATGTAGGCTTTGCTGTATTTGCGCCGTAAGGCAGCGGACCAGCGAAGTGGCCAGAACCTGAGACGTTCGACTGTCTCCGTTTTCTGTTTGTCGCAGGCTTTGCCCGCTCCCGTCTGTTCTCTGGGACTCCTTGGACTCTGGGGCGCCTGCTTTGCCGACCTTCTGCTTGCTGCGTCTTCGGCGCTGCTGAAATCCGCGGAAAGCACGCTGCAAGCGCTTCGCCATTAGCTGACGCAGCTCCTACACAGTGTCTGATCAAGTGCAAACTGAAGTTTTCGGCCGGGCATCTTGCATTAAGATAATCAAGCTGCACGCTGTTCCTCTCTTTGGTCAGTAGCAGCGGCTGGGCTATCTTCGAGTCGAGATCTATCACAGTTTTGTTGGGGTTCCTGACAACGGCACTGCAGAGGCAAATTCAATAAGCCTGGATTGCAGGCACCTGGATCTGTCGTCGGAGCACCCTGTCGCAAGCGACCACTGCCTCGCTGCGACAGTCGCACGGGAGAGCGGCCACGGGCCGCACACGAAGAGCTCATCCCATCTCCGCTCCTTGGCCGAGGCGAGGCCACATTCCCGGCAGAGAGCCGCCAGCTCCTCGACCTGGGCACAGACATGACGACAAGTTCGACAAGCTGTATGGCGTGAACTCATGGCAGACCTGCTTCGAGCTTGCCCACTTTCTCGGCATATCCACGGGATGCCAGCGCCTGCAACACTTGAGAAAAGAGGCAGCCGCAAAGGGCTCGATGCAAGAAGTCACCGGCTGTGCCTCTGCAGCTCAGTCAAGTGCTGCAGCACCGCCTCGTGAATCGCAACTCGAATCCATCTCAGAGAGACTTGCCCGAAGGCCTCGATGTAGTGCTTGAAGCTGTCCCGGACAAGCACGATGGGATCTCCCTGTTGCGAGCGGGGGAAGCGGTGGTTTTCAATTCAAGGAAGGAATGAAAGGAACCCACCACTCTGCCCCACTCTCCACTGTCCCCTCTGTCCGCGCGCCGCGCAAGGCGCCATGGCCATAGCCATGGCTCGCCGCCGCCTGGGCCTCGCTCGATTTCCAGCTTGAGCAGCGAGGCAGCGAGGAAGCAAGGCACACGTCTCTGCCGCCTGCAAGGCACGTCACCTCAAAAGCTCACCACCTTTTCGCGGCACCTGGCTTTCGCTAGACGAAAGAGGCTCGCGATCTCTCACCTCAATGATGTCTCTTGCCCCATCGCATCCTCATCCACACCATGTCGGAGTCCGACGATCCAGAAGGAAAGAGCCGCCACTTGCGCGTTGAGCTGCTCAAAGTTGTCGGACGTGCGAGTCGCCTCGTCGTTGCATGCCGGGACTTTTCCTTCTTTCCCGAGGCCAAGACACTCCGGGTCCTTGAACACTCGCTACATTTAGTTCGTGTCCTGCGCAATCCGGGTCAAAGCAGAACTCTGCTCCCTGTCCACCCAGAGCGATGTGTCCTTGAACTGAGTGCACTGCACGGCCGTCAAGATCCGAGCACCAAGGGACTGTAGAACCCGGCTTCAGAGCTCATTGCAGTCTAGTCATCATCGACCATCTGAAGCAGGGTTCCCGGCCATCGTTTCTCGATTTCCGACAAGTCCTTGCTCGGAAGCTTCATTCGAATGACTTTCTGGAGGTCCAACTGTGGAGCCGCCAGCTCCCAAAGAGTAAGCGGCGGCTTGGTGTCCGGAACTATGGTCAAAATGGCCCCATGTGCAGCAACCATTGATTTTGTCGCGTGGCGCAGATTACTTCGAACAGCGAGGCCCAGGGGCGTCCAGCCATCCTTGCGCTTCACGTTCGGGTCCGAGTGTTTCTCTAGGAGAGCACGTATGAACTCGTTCTTCACACGTGCTGGAGCCTTTTCCACTGCCAGACTCAGCGCTGTGGATCCGTCGTTGCGTACCTCCTTGGTAGCTGGCCCATGCACATCCAGTACTTTGTGAAGCATTTCACTTGTAGTCTTGTACACTGCTAGGTGGACACACGTTTCCCCGGAGCCTTTCGCCGGGAGTGTCAGGCTCGCCCTGTAAGAAATAAGCAGCTCCACCAGCTCCATATTCCCAGTGGATACTGCCATCAACAGCGGAGTCCAACCAGTACCAGCATGATATGTATCTGGGTCGCCCTTACTTTCCAACCAAGTCCGCGCAGCCGTCACAGAGCCTCCCAACATATCACGCAAGATATCGCCCTTGAGATCCTTGTACTCATCGCCCATGTGACAAATGGTGTCGCGAGTGTCAGCAGCGAACTCCGAGAATTGAGGACCATGCCTCTTTGCCTTCACTGCTCCTGCGGAAGAGGCCTTGCCATCGGTCACTGCCTGCAGGAGTGCCTCACGGCGACCTTGGTGTGCAAGAGGCTTGCCTGCAACAGAAGAAACCCGAAACCCGACAGGGAAAACTACCTGACATCTCTTGATACATACAGCTTGGCATCGAGAAGATCGCGTCTCCTCATCATCCAAGCTTCGCAGATGCGCACGAGCTTGAGATAAGTCGTCGGTCAGTCGCTGGTGGATATTGCTAAGCCGCTTAATTCTCTCTGGATCGAGGTCGAAGAAAGCCAGCGGCCCACCGGTGTCTGCCTTGGAAAATCGTTTCAGGAAGAGAAGACCCGGATCATCATGCAGATCATGCAGATCCTTGAGTTTGCATGTTCTCGTGTGCACGAGAGCCTTCATGCTGGATGGAAACGTCGGGCGAGGGAGCACTGTTTCAGGCCCTGCATGCTTTCCTGCAGAAATTTCATCGCGATCCCCGACAACTGCTGCGGTGACTGAAGCAGGCCGCAACTGCCGCCAGAGGGCAGAGGCTTTGCGCTGCTTGCGCTCGCAGCGCTGCAATTCCTTCTCCAGGAATGCAATTCGCTCCTGAAAGTACGACTTTTCCTCATTGAATACATAGCATTGAATGCACAGCATGCCACCGGTTTTCTTGAAATCGCTGTCCACTTCCGGCATGCCGAGCATGTGGTTGTGACACTGGACTGTACGGCAAAAGGTCCTCCACCATTTTCTTCTCTTGATCGTCCTGTGGACAGGGGCTATGGGTCATGCTTCTCCCATCTTGGAGGTACATCTCGACAGCTATTAACAGGTTTGTGACCAGGAAAGGTAGATAGTCGAGCGTTTAGGAAAGTGTCAGAGCCAGACCTCCCCGTCGTGAGTTGGAACGGATCCGGCTGACGTGATCGAACTTCGCCTTGACCGCAGGGGACAGCTTCAACTGACAGAACCCAGACCAGCTGATGCTTACATGAATCTGTCTGGCGCCCACCTGGAATTGCCATCATTGGCAGCTTTCGCCTCCGGCGCACTAACACGAAAGAAAGCCGGGCTGCTTCAGGCACTGTCTCGGGGCGTGTGCACGTACCCGCAAGGGAAGGGTCTCTTGCAGTAGCCCCTGCACCTGCTCGTCCTGCAACACGTCGCCAGTTTCGGGATCAACGAGACCATCCAAAAGACCCAATACTTTCACCTTGCAAGCTCAACTACTGCCAGCAGTCACGCTTCGGACACCCACTGCTTGCACCCACCTCTGCCAAGAGCTTTTCTTGTTGCTTCCTGCTGTTCTTGGAGCTGTCACCAATGAAGCCAAGCCAGCGCAATTTGGAATCCTCACCGGTGGTGCTCGTCCCTGTCGACAAGCCTTGAGCTGTCACCGGCACAGGTAACACGGCCACTGACAACCGGATAAAGCCCCAAGTGTTTCCGCGGATCACACGCAAGCATTAAACGATCAGGCCTCTGAGACTACTGCAGCTAAGATGCTTTGGAAGTCATCATCGTCCACGCTTCCAGGCGCTGCAACAAAGACGGTGGATTTCCACTGCCTGGAGAATTGAGTCGGACTGCACCATGACAGAGTTTGCCAGCATGCTGTCCCGCGCACACACACACACACGGACACACAGAAGAAACACGTCCGGCAAGACCCGGTATGGATACGAGGAGGGCCTCTGACCAGACAAGTAGGAACGCATTCTCTACTGCCAGGCCTGTTGCTCAGAATCCTGTCCTCTGGCACGTGTAAAGCAATGCAGTAGGAGACGCGGCTCAGAGGCAGCACGCGTCCTAGGTCAACAACTTGCCACACTCCTGCCCCAACCCTCATCTTCTCACGTGCTTGAAAGTCGGTTCGGAAGGCTTAGCTCGGATTTTGAAGCGGAGTGGGATGCTTTCTTAAAGTGCAGCCCAACATGAGAAACAACAAGTACGGACAGCATCATACACCAGTTTGTCTAATGCCTACACTCTGCACGGCATCACATCGTTAACCTGCGGCCAATGTTTCCATGTCCATCGGGAAGCCTGCAGGCCGCCCTGCACAGCTTCTCACGGTCTGTGAAGATGTCGGGGGGGTCTTTGATCCTGATAAGGCCAGCGACCAGCTCAAATCTCCATACCACCTGTGCGCTTGATGAAGAAACAAACTCTTTTCAGACAAAAGTCGCAACAAAAGCGTCGTCGGGAATGTCTGCACCATGCGCTTCGAGTCCTTGAGCGTCTTCCACTAACCTCCCAATCAAGTCGAGCCCCGGGAAATGAAGCATGTGCCCGTGAGGGGAAATGCAGGCCCGGCACCTATCCCAGAGTTCCTCGGCGAAGTCATGAGCCGCAGGAAAGTCGCTGGTCCGCGTGTCAAAACGAGCCACAATCCTGTTGAAGCCAGAACCGGTGGTGTAGTGATAGACCGTGACCTCAACTCGAAGATACCGAAGGCAGTCCAGGCATGCTGTCGCTGAGGCGAGGACGAGCCGACGGTAGGCCATCTGCCCTTCAAGAGCTTCAAAGAAGGGCAGCAGGTTGAAGCGGACGGGCCAGAGGACCACGCCAGTTCGAAGATGCTTCAGGAAAGGAACATGTTCTGACCAGGCTGCGACTTCGTAACCTGCAGGTGGCATCTTCTTCGGCTGGAGGACCTCTCCGAGGTGGAGCCCAGAGTCAAACCAATGCTCCAGGTTCAACGCTTTCTCCGTCACATCCTCCATGGCCAGGTCCTGCCGCGAGCCCGAGCCAGAGGGGAGCCACTCCTTCAAACTTCTTACACTCTTTGCTCTTCCTTTCTCTGTCCTGCTTCTGAACCGCACCTTTTGCGTGCTTTGCAATAGGCGAAATTTGCTGTCGAGAGCGCGGCTGAAAATTCTGTGCCGAGTTCACCATCCTCTGCATCCTCGCCAGGGGTGTTGAAAGCTGACAACTAGTCTGAAGTTGGAGTCCTGAGGCTTTCCAGATATGCCGTGGACCCCAGGGCATTCTTTGTGTCGGCTTCCTCGGGATCTTCGCCATCTCCAACCTGGAACTGGGGGCGGTCTGCCCAAACAGCCACGGGCCACGAGCGTCTTTCGTCTCTTGGCCTCGAAGCGAACCCGCTCAAAGTTGCGGTGTCTCTCCCAGCGTTCCGCCCGTCTCTCCGCCCGCGTCTTTGCATGGGAGGTCTTCGCGCCCTTCCGTCCCAGAAGAGACCAGAAGGATCGAGCCTGGCTGCCGGCGCCACGGAAGAGGCTTCGCTTCGCACTCGCACACGCACATGCCAACCCATTGCACTCCAAGGATCCGCCTTTTCAGTAGGCTGCGGGCTGTCCTGGTGCAGACACACAAATGACAAGATATCAATTCGCGCTCTGCCAACTCCGACCCCGTGCGATTCTGTCATCCTCGTGTATGCTCCGGGCTCCAGGGGGCTACCTTTGACGCCTTCATCCGGCGGGTTTCAGGCTTGTGAGTCGCCATCGATGGCACAAATTCCGCAACTCAGAAGCCAACAGCGGAAGCCAGAACTGCCAGAACTGCCAAAAGAGGCTTTTAAGACGCTCTGTTCTCTGCCTGGCCTGGCGCTGCAGTACGTTGCGCCGTGCCGCCGTCAGTGGCGACTCCTCGACTGGGACCTCCTCGCTCTCTCGATTCCACATGGTTCCACATGGCCGCGGCTGTCTGAGCAAAATGTGTTGGATATGACGGAAAGAGAGGTGTTTGTCTTGCTTTGCGATACCTTGCGGCTAAAACCCTTCTCGGCGGCTAAATCACGCAGTCTTTTGGCAGAATCTCCTGCATTCATCCATATTCATGGGCAATTATTAGGGAAGCAATATGCGCCAGATCTTCTCTACAATGATCTGGTGTGCAAAATTAAATCTGAAGACTCAAGACTCAAGCAAGGGATCTGCTTACTTTGCAGCATCAGCGATTTCGTGTGCTGTGGGGTCAGCACGTGTCAGCACCAGGGACCGCACGCAACAAAATAGCATGTGCCGTTGCCCAGGAATTCGGAGACACAGCTTGGGCGCTCATCCAAGCCACGGCATATGCCTGAAAACCGTTGCCACTTACGGGCAGTGATGGCAGTGAAGGATGCACGGAGCATTGGGCAGATTTAGGCAGACTTTCCTGCCACATGTACGCAAAGTTCATCCAGCAAACTCCAGCACCTTCTCTTCAGCCTCGAGCTCCTACAGCGACACTCTCAAGCGCTGCACAGCTCTGCAGCATCTTCATCGAAGAAGGATCAAGAGTGTTGCAGATATCGTCTTTTTGCACTGCGCAGCGCGTACTTTTTCAGACAATGCCTATCTCACTGCTTGATGGCCCTTCCAGGCAACGTAAATTATCGTCAGCATGTAAATAATGCAACCGACCTGCATGCGAGCCATACCGTATCCAGCAAACTGCTGTACCGCCAGGTATAGGTTGGCGCAAATGATCAAAGATGTAGCAGACCAAGCAGCTATCAGCGAGGTATTCGATAATACCAGATTATCCATGACGCGCTTCGACCCTGCAAAAAGTAGCAGGGGCACGGCCGCGAAAGGAAGTACGGCACTCTGCAACACATTCAAGTATGTGTTCAGAATGTCCAAGCCATCACGCTGTCCTCTGAAGTAGATTGCAACAGCAAGGCATGGGACAAGCGCCATGGAACGGGTAATGATGGCCCGTTTCCATGGAGCTACCTTCAAATCCAGGTATCCCTGCATCACCCACTGACCGGCGTAGGCACCAGTCATCGTGCTGGACTGGCCGGCCGCACACAGACCTAGGGCCCAGACGATTTTCATTGGCTCACCAAAAGCCTCTCCCAAGTATTGGCCGGCATTTGCCAAACCGATTGCATCGGTGCCAGGCTTGCCAAAGAAGCCCTTTGCAAAGACTGCCACGACGAAGGTGTTGATGATCAGCGAGGTGACGATCGCGCAAGTTGACTCTACTGTGAAGAGCCAAACAGCATCTGCCTCGCCCCCAGGCTGCACCACACGGCTTTGCACAAGAGCAGAGTGTAAGAACAGGTTGTGTGGCATGATCACACAGCCAACCATCCCAACTACCTGCAGGGACAACGGAACTATCAAGAGAACTAGACATGTTGGAAGACTGGCTAAACGTGTTTACTATTCAACCACCTGCTGCATGGCGGAAGGTGGTAGCCACGGAACGAGCAGACCTTCTGCCACCGCCATGCTGTCAGGACAAATTCTTGCATACAAGCGACCCATGGACAAAGCCAAAATCAAAATCAGCACACCAAAAAACAGCTCGAGCGGTCTGGTCCCGAGACGTTCCAAGAAAAGGAAGATGAAGGCCGCAAAGGCCGTGATCAAGACTCCAACCGTCAGGGGGATACCAAAAAGGAGCTCCAAGCCAATGGAGCAGCCAATCACCTCTTGGATGTCCGAGCCGACAATCGCCAGCTCGGTGAGCATCCAAAGAAGCTGCCGGAGTGGAAACTCAAAGGCATCCCGGCAGTGCTCTGCCAAATGCCGCTTTGTAGCGCAGCCTAGCCGGGCCGCCAGCAGCTGCATTCCCAGACCCATGAACGTAGCACCAGTAAGGGCCCACAACAAAGAGTATCCAAATTGTGCCCCGACTTGAAGATCTGCCTCCAGGTTTCCAGGATCGACGTACGCGATGCTCATCAGCCAACCAGGGCCCGTAAAGGCCAGGAGCCGCTGCAACCATGCGTGCCACGTCTCCCTCCCCCTTTCAACCAGCTCCTCGTTTACATCGTCTAAGGCAAGCGGCTTCTTCAGCTCAGGAACACCAATCGGAGTAGACGGGTGTGAGTCTGGCGGATTCAACAAACCGAAGGCCGCCAACGCAACAGGAGATGAATCTTTTGAGGTTTGACGGCTCAGCACACCGTCAACTTTGTCCAAGCTACCAGAGTGCGAGAGCTTCGGAGGTCTCGGGCGGTTAGAGCGAGCGGCCATGCGGCTGTCCGGGCCCGTCGACTGTGCTAGTAGCACCAGAAACTTTAATACACAGTGCATGGCAGTGCATAGCATTGTGATTTGTGTACTTTCGCGTGCTCTTCTGAGCCTGGCCGGCGTGCGCCTGGCCACCAGTTGATACTGAACTGGCGACGACAAGCAGGAGCAAGAGGCAAGGCTGAAGCCGCACAAAACATCGCAACATGATGGGACAAACAAGTCTCAGAAGAGAGCTTGTCATTTCTCCTGGAAGTCGAAAAGGGAATGACGCTTGGAAGCGTACAGGAGCTGAACGCAAGTCCTGAGCAGTTATGTGAACATGTCTTAAGTAAAACAAAGCTAGGTCGGCACATCTCGGCACGGCGCCCACTCGATTTCGGCCGTGCTGCCTTGGCCTGGCAAATTTGAACTTCAGCTGAACGACCCGGAACCGAGAAGGCCATACAGGCAGAGCAGCGGCTTCAATCTACCATCGCTGTTATACCCCGCAATGACTTCGGAAGTGCCATGGACGATTATGATGAAGACATTCCTACTTTCGAGAGCGTGTGTTTGCGAATGGCTGTGGGAACGACGAAGTGGAGAATGCCAAACTGCACGCGAAAAGACGAAAGCACAAAGTCGAAAAGCTGCATGGGATAAAGCTTTTTCGCGGCGAAGAAACAGAAAGAAGAAGGTCTCGAAAAGCTTCGAAAAAAAACGGTTAATACTGAGAACTGCGGATTGCCAACAAAAAGTACAGCGAAAAGCAACAAACGTCGAAAAGTACAGCGACAGGCGACAAGACAAAAATTCGCAAAGTTTGAAAGTCTAAATGTCGAACCATCGAAGCCGTGAAAAATCTACAACCGCCGAAAAAGGCGAAAACTCAACAAGTCTGGTCAAAAATCCCTGAAGGATACTGAAAACCCAGCCAAAGTATCTAAGCTTTTGACACATCCTGGCTACTTGGGTGAAAGCCGAGATGGTTTACAATGGAAAAAAATTGCCATTCCCAAATGCTTTTGGCTTGTCAACTTGTTGCTGGTTTATGTTATTGGGCGCTTTCCGGGCCACGAAGTGGGCAAAAACTGGGCCAAAGTCATTAAAGGTTTCCGGTAACGGGTCTCCAAACCCGAAAATGTGCCAAAGCACCCCGTGGTTTCGTTTTTCTCAGGTGTGTGGAGGACAGGGCCCAATATGATAACTCATTGGAATCTGGCGTGCACAAGATCCCTGGTTGGTTCCCCGCAAATGCTTGTTGCGTGATCACTAGTTAGTGTCTGTAGTGAACTTTAGTGCACCTCAACCTTCGTTCATTCTATGTGCTCTGAGTATGCGCGCACTGATCAAGTCAGTAAAATTTTGCGATTAGGCGCATCCCAATTCCGTCGAGAATCAGCCAATGTATCCCAAAAGCGAGCAGAAGGACACAATTGCCTGTGTGTCTGCTGCTGTTAAGCGCTTTCAAAAACCACATCTTGAAAAATGCAACATAGGCGGCTCCCCACACCCGAACAACACATCAGAATTTCATATGCTTTGTCTGCTGTCGTGTTGGTTGGAAAAACACGACTAGCGACAGCACTGCTCCTACTCGCATTGGCGCCGCCTCAGGCCTAACCCTAGTCTAGCCCTAGGCCGACCCATAGGCCTATCTTCTAGCTCCACGAGCCCTTCCCTGCACGCCTGCTCCTGACCTAAGCCCCACCCTGCCCCCCATGCCTTGTCTTGCTGTTACACTGACACCCCAGCCCGGGCAGCCCGAAGGCAAGCCTTTTCTAGGTTCCAACCCTCGGAAGAGATCGAAAAGCTAAAAAAACAACGAAACGCCCTGAAACTCGAAAACATGCTCAACGTTTTGATTTATCGACTTTTTCTCAAATTGATGCGGTTTTTCCATTTCCCAAAGTCTACGCCTGGTTGTGGTTGTCGTCCTAGCGAGACTTGGTATGGCAAGATCTGTCTAGAGAAGGCGGCATCCAGTCCTCATCAGCCGTTGTGGCTTGCACGTCGGCCACTGCAGAGGGTCGGCTGCCTGACTGCAGCACCTGGCTGTGGCTGAAGTTACAAAGATCTTCTGGGCGTTGACTTGCCTACTTTAGATTTGTTTTGAGAATGTGCCTTGCACTAAGGCTTTCCTATTGGGTGGCATGCTTGCTCCCGTAAGAAGTCCTGGCTTGGAATGCTTCCCCACTCAGCACGTTGTCGCTGATGCAAGTTTCCCTTCCAAGCTGTGGCAACCCTTCTGAAACGCGAATGCCCAATGGTTCCCGCGAGCGCGAAGCACAAGAAGCGCCAGCAGTTGAGCTACGTCGCGCCCATCTACGCAATCGTGAGACTGTCTGTCAGACTGTTTCCGAAAATTATTGACAGGTTCATCATGTCCACACAGGACACAGTCATCGACTTGCAACAGACTCAGAAGTGGAAAAGCTTTCATGCCGAGGCCACACAACCTTCTTGCTCTGCCCGGGCTAACTGCCGCTGAAGCTTGCTGGCCTCAGACAGGTTAACAGGACCCAAAGATCCACATCCTCAGAAGCCTCAGCAGCCTGGGAAATGACCGACGAGTTGCCAGCAGACACGACCACAGGCTTGCCGTTCCACGCTGTAATTACTGCAATACGAATTGGCCCCTTCTTGCTGTGTCGCCTCAGTTATTTATTCCGCAGTCACACGATGCGCAGGGCTCTGAGTCCGCTTGATACAAATGCGACGTGCGTGTGCCGCAGAGGCTGCTGATCACCATGTTTTCGCTCACAAAATGACGTGTGGTGTGTAGTACCTGAAGCACGCGATTAATGCTACAAGGTGCTAGCACACCCCTTCTCCTGTGAATGAACGGCGATCCGACACAAAATCTCATCAGCGCTGAGGTCACGGCCAACTCTTCTTCACTTCCTCTTGGTACAGTGCCTTCTGCAATGTCACACATGTTGCAAGTAGGTGCGGCACATGCGATTGCGCCATTTAGCCATGGGTGTCCACGAATAGGCGACAGATCCCCAGACGGGCCTGGATAGCGTCCACACCAGTGTGAGGTCGTGGTCGATGCAAACCTGCAACTCTTCGAGCTGCTGGTGTGGCACTCACGAAGTCGTTGAAATTCACTTTTCTATGCGATCAACACAGCGGACTTTCCCTGTCCTATCTGCACTTGTGTCGATGTGATGTGTCTGCTGATTTGGCTAGCATGCCTGCACTCACTCCAAGTGCAACAGGCAATGGTTGACTGCAGCCGATGTCTAGCAGCAGCATTAGCGTCCAGGCGACGACGGGTGCGGAGATCTCTTGTCAATCTGGCACGTCCCTCGGGTTTGTCTTGGAAGCCTTCGCTTCGGTTGACGAACGGATTTGGAGGTCATAGGACGATCCCAATAGAGCGAGTGGAAAGTCAGTGCGGGAAAAGATGCTCATCCGAGAGCTTTTCTCGCTGGCTGCGCTCAGCCTTTTCAAAATCTGTGGTAGCAGGGTCCGCGAGTCTCGCCTCGGGGATTGTACGCCTGTCAAGAATAGACTGTTGCATCTGCGAAAGTCTCCGCACAGTTTCGGTCTCGAAGAGAGTGCTCCAGTCGGCAGTAGACGCAATCTCATACCTTGGAACCCTATCCTGGCGCGTATACACTGAACACCAGGGCGAGAATGAGAGAGTGAGAGAAAACAGGACTAATGAGAACACGAGGGAGCAATGGTTTCCTGTCAATGCCCGAATGCATTCTTTCTTCCTGAGGACACAAGTACGACAGTATCAAATTCAAACTCGCCCTGGCGGCGTTCTTGACTCGTCTGTGTCCATGTGTTTCTGACTCCTGCGGAATCCAGTGTTCTCGACTGCTGGCCGGTGTGCGCACAGCCAACCCATAGCACAAGTCGCCTAGAAGCTGGTTGGTGCAGCATTTCAAGCAGGCCAGCTCGAGCCTTCCACAGTGCGCAGCGAACCCAGCCAAAGGTGCCTGAAACTGAATCTGTCGAAACTTTTGTCCAGTCCGTAGTGGCCCAACAACAGCCCTAGCAGCGTTTGCAGAGGTTTTTATTCCAGGATTGATTTGTGGGACTCCCAAAAGAGCCACAAGAACCCAACGCGGGCCTGAAGGGTTCAACTCGAGCCTCACAAGGTAGGTAGCAACTATTGACACAGTGCGATAATCGATGAAACCTATCGTGGTCGGGCTTCAGTGCAAAGGCATGCAGAGGCCCTAACAAATCTTGAGACTTGCTGCCTCCAAGAGGCTGCCTGCTCTGGATGGTCCTTGTGCATCGGCAAGTTGCCGGTGCTGCACACGTTGCTGGCGAGTCCTGCAGCTCCATCGTCGGAGCCAACAGACTCGTGTGGAGAAGGTGGCCGGTCTGGTTCTGAGACGTCCGATCGCTCCACAAGTGGATTCAATTCCACATACACGTTCTCCGGGACTACAGTCTCGGACGGGGCTGCTCTTACGGCAGTGTCCCTGCTTGCCTTTGGGCAACAAAAGCACGAGCTTGATCCACATCCTTGTGTCCGAGCCGGACTTTCTGGCTCCAATGCCGCATCCGAAGCGAAATCGCCAGGGAGGATGGCCAATACGGCATTCTCACGGCTTTGATCCTGTACAGAAGCTACTCTGATTCTGCAAAGTTGCCCTAGGGTTGACATGACAACAACAGTTGCTGGCAGTCCTCAATCGCCTCCACGATGTCCCAGTCCCACTCGTCAAGACTGCTGACCTGCGCCCGAGGCATGCGGGACTCTGGAAGAACCGAAGCAACGACGTCTCGACATTACTTCGGCGAAGAAGGCATTCACAAGTTTTCACGGCCCTCCTTGATCTACGTATCGCCGTGACCGTCATAGCGTGGACACACGACAGCGACAAGACAGGCGACAACGCGCCAAACCAACGACTATCGTTGGCCCCTGGGCAGATCCCTTGCATGCGCAGCCGTCCAGTTAACAAAAGGCTTCAATCTGAGGGAACACTTGTCATCCCATCACTTGAGTGCAATCGTGGCTATAAGCAGCATTCAGGTGTAAAAGCTGTCACATTGCACCTGGGACTCCGATCGCTGTCTCCCGGCATCTTCCCAGGCATCCTAACAGGCACGAACAGATTCGCTCCAAGCAAAACTCTGCTTCTCAGACGTCCTCGCTGGAAACCTGGACGTCCGGGGCGTCCTGGACCTCGGGCTCCTTGTAGCGCCAGAGGGCATGCAAACTCTACATGCAACAGAATCCGAAGCAGGATCCTTCTGTGGCTGCATAGAAACAGCAGCACAGCAAGGGCCATGCCGAATGCCGGAACGTCATGGAATTGCATACACATGCCAAACTCAAACGGAACATGAACCACCGTCATACCAGGTCGCCCACTATCAGAGTCACACCACGTCACACCATAGTAGGAAAAGTGTAGGCCCTTTGCAGCGGCCCGCAGGCACTGGGGCGATCGCGTCTCTGAACCACCATCGACCAGGCCCAGCCAAAAACCTCCTTCGAGTCAGATCGAGTAAGCATGCAAATGAGCCTTGCGAGCTTCCACCAGCCTTGCAAACAGCATGCTGCACAGCAGCTAGGGCTCACGCAGCGCCTGAATCAAATCAACTGCCGATAAAGAAGCTGCAGAGGAACTGACTGAGTCACATGGCCTCCAGCATGGTGCGCAGGACTGCCGATCCTACGCGCGTGCCTGCGAACCGGAGACAGCCTTCGCAGCCGGAGCTGTTTTGACAGGTTGACGTTTCTGAAGATGAATGACAAAACCAAAATCTGCGATCTTCGAAGAGATGTTGCAGAAGTGGTTTGCCTCGGCATTGGGCTCTGATGTGGCAGGAGCTGTTGCAAGACAATCTGAAGCGTCACCGTTTGGCTCGCGCTTCCAGGTGACTGGTCCAGGGCCCATGCTCTGTTTTTCAGAGCATATAGGCAAATCCGGTCTCAGTATTTGAGCACTCGGAGCATTAACGGATGATGCGTGCATACATTGAGGAACATCGTGTCTGAACTGAGTTAGTACGGGATGTGATGTTCATGTTTTCCTTCTCGGAGGCGAAGATGCGAAGGAGACTTGTAGTGAAAAGTCATGTCTTTGTGGGGGTTCCCTCGTGTCGTGTCAGCGCTTGCTTCCTCAATGAGGCACGCATGCATCCTGTCTTCCCCCATCCTGAAAGCTGCTAAACTTTCAACCTGAAATTGCTACCCAATGCCCGAGGCACGAATATTTTTTGCTTCGATGCTAGCTGAACTGCGCAAACCCAGGCTGCACCGTCGGTTTCGCAAGCACTCACTTTATGAGCTTGCTGATTGCCTGGGCACCCGGTACACGGAGATGCTGCATCCATCACTGGCATTCGCAGCCGAACCAAGATGGCCTCTCCATGTTTCCGAGTTTCTGGCCTCGCTGCCATGCTTAGGGCACTGCTTGGAGTGGGGGCAGCGAGTTCTGAGAGGCAGCTCCCATTCCTTCGGTTGCGCATCGCTGCTTGTGTGTCGGCGTGCAAACCTGGGATCTAAGTTCAGCGCGATTCGCGGACTCCTGTACGGAACTGTGAATTGAGCCCAGCTGTAATCTCCCAGGCTGTTGTCAACGATTCTACATCTCGTAGGCACGAAGATGCCAAGCCTCGAGAGGAAGGTACACTGCCTGTTGCATGAGACACAAACCCAGAGGTCTCGAGGTAGACTTTCCAACAGACTTAACTGTCGACCGTATCTTTGCGGCTGCGATGCATGGAGCTCAAGATCAACATCCAACAAAGCCTTGCCTGGATTGCAGTCATTTGGTCCAAGAGGTCGTCGATCGACACAAAGCCCTAGCAGAAGTCAGCGTGCCATTGCAAGGCCAGTGAGGCGACACGGCCATTTTGGCCGAGGCCTCCGAGTCTGCTTCCAGGTAGTTGAAGAATAGCCTGGCTTCCTGCAGCACTGGTCCGGACTGCAGACTGCTTCCTTTCAAAGACTGACGCACCTGCTTAACGGAATCTTCCGTATAGTGGATGTCTGACAGTTCACGGCACTTGAGCAGGATTGGAATCACCTCGGATAGATTACAAAAGCCACCTACGTGGAGACTCTGACTCTGAACGCTGGCAACTTCCGGCATGCACACTGAGGTCGCGCGCGGCCGACGTAAAATCCTCTTGGGAGAGCAGTCGCCTGAGGTCGTCTAAGTTTCTGCGCCACCTCCAAAACGACTGTCTGCCGTCAAGCTGCCGAGGATATGGAATCTCAAACATTGCGGACACCTCGCAGGATTTCACCTTCTGAAAGCAGCAGAAGCTAGGATCTTAGCACCCAGCCGGAGTGTCAGACATGCCGGTGAGAAGTTCAAGTCTTGGGTGCAAGTCACATAAGAGCTATTGGCAGGCGTGACGAGATACACTGCTTGCACGTCACTGAGTTTGGGACATGGTGTTGCTCGCATCAACAGCATTGCTTCTTGTCGCCTCAAGACTTCAGAGCCCGAAGGCCGAAGATTAGAGTGTGAGCAGTGTCGAGCGGAGGCACACTTAGGAACGCCCCGCGCCCGAGAGCAGTGAAGCCTCTGCAATTTTTGGATTCTCAATACTAGGACACTAGCGAGGCTAGCAAGTGCTGACGTGTGCACTTCAACTGTCTCGGCCTCGGCTGGACCTCTCGTCAAGAAAATTGAAATCTTCTTCTTTCAACACATAACAGACTACTGGCGTCATGCTGTGGTCCACACAACTCAGCTCTGCAAGACCCTGCACATAGTAGCCAAAACAGTTGCAGACTGTCCTCGGATTACCAACTGCTCATGAGAGTTGCAAAACATCTGTAATGCATTGAAGGGGCCAGGACAGCCTCTCGTGTTACCACAATACAGACAATACAGGTGTTCCCGGGGCAATGCCAAGCTACACGTGAATGCAGGATCTGTGAAGTTGTTCACGGGCATGGACAGCAACAAATCCGAAGAAGCCAAGAATCGTTTCCGCCAATGTTCAAGCGTGTCAGGTTGTGCTGCCACTTCGAAAGTGCAACCTGCGCATCTTCAGAGAGACGGGGACGGAGACGGAGAGGGAGAGGGAGGCATCTGCCGGCCTCCTCTTGGTCCTCTGCGATGGCGCTCCACGCTCTGGAGAGCGAGCCAAAGGCCTTCTGGCATCGAGCGCCTGGCTGCAGACTGGTGGCGACCGCACTGTGACTGCTTGGCGAAACAGGATGGTCGGACGCAAAGAATAAAGGTTGTTCACAGGAGCTGCATCAGTGAGTAGCGACGTGAAGGCTTCCAATGTAACCTCGGTAAATGCGAAAGCCAAGCCAGACTCTCGTCTTGCAGCACATTCTTGCAGGGCACCTTTGTAGCTTCAGACTGCTTGTTGTCCCAACGCGGGTGATGCCACCCGACCATCTTGCCATAAACCAGAGCCTGCTTCAGAAGCACTTCCATGGCTATCTGTTGAGAAGTCCTGTCACACACTGCTTAGCGCACCCAGCGCTCCGCATCGGCAAAGCCGAAGTCTTGTCTTCGGTCCTTGCCACAAGCGGTATCAGGCAGGATCAGATTCAGCAATGCCCACCGCGTTTGCCAGACATGCATGTACATCATGTTCTGCAGCCTCCCACTCCAATAGACCAATTCCATCCGAGAGCCTGAAAACTGCGGGTTTGCGACCATCCGTCACTGCCTGCCATGGCCGAGCCTGGTATCAAAGATCTGGTATGCCTGCCGAAAGTCGTCGAAATTCTGTTTGATGTACCTCGTGGCCACAAGAAAATCTCACATAAACATGTTAACTTGTGAAGGTTATCCAGCTTGCCTGCACTAGTCGCTGCTATTCTGCAAGTAGCTAACCACATGTAACTTATTGCTGTAGCAAAAGAGCCCGGTCGCATCTTCTTCTCTCCTCATCCCAACTTGCCGACTAAATGTTGTAGCCGCCGTATGGGATTATCTCGATTTCTTCATTTTGCCAGAGGGAGGGAAGGGGAGAGGGACGGAGAGGGGGGAGGGGAGAGGAGAGCCGGAAACAGAGACGGAGACAGAGCGAGAGGCAGAGATGAAGCGTTTTTGACGGTTATTGGGCTGTTTCAGGTTTCCGGCGCTTCCGATTCGCCCGGTGCTAGACCAAGCCACAAGCCACATCAAGCCACCTCGTGTTGATTAAGGGCTGGCGAAACGTCGGTGAGAAACCGGAGTCGCTGTGAGTCATTCGCAGGTGGCCTGCGGCAGTGGCTCCAGACACATCTCGCGATCTTCTCCACTGTTGAGTTCGTCTTGCGGAGCCATTGCCACACTGCGAATGACTTAAGGCGATTGAGCAATTTCTGCTAATGGAAATGCTGCGCCGCTGCGCTACAGCTGGGGGGTTCTCGATGTGAGTTGTATCAATTCCTGCTAAGGCCGTACGGCCGTGGGGGGTGTGTCCACATCTTGCTAAAAAGTAAAACAAAGCTGTCAACGCCTCAAGATGAGCGCCCACATCCTCACTGGTGAGCCATGGCTCACTGCGGAACCGTTCCAACAACTTGCAACAAGGGTACAACAATGTTGACTTGTCTGATGCAGACTCCAAACATCTCTAAAGTAGGCTTCTCCCTGACAGTCCGACAAGCTGAGAGATGCGACTTCTCTCCATTCGGGCTCCTTCCCTCCTCCTTCCATTATGCATCCCTCCCTTCCGCCCAGTCGAGCTTGTCGTTGCTTGTCTTTTCTCAAAAACAACCTGTCCTTCCAACATGAGAAGTCGATTCGGCAAGCAGCGCCAAAGGCCTTCTAAGCTCCTTGGCTGCTTCCAGGCCCGCTTGGTCCAGCTCCTGGAGCAATGCGATTGGTCGCCCTCAGCTCTCAACTCTCTCAACCCCTCTTTGCTTCTGGGCCCCTCACCTCTCTTCCTGTGCCTTCCAGTGCTGTTTCCGTATTTTCCGTTTCCGTCTCGGCCAGGCCGGCTAGGCACTGCATGACCTGGGGTCCACAGCCGGGCTCTGTGACTCCTTTGCTGTCTCCATGCCTCGATCAGGTCGGCTGCAGACTCCCCTGCCTAAAGTCGGACGGGCGAACTGTTCATGAGTCATGGCACTCGGATGTATCAAAAGGCAGTCGGGGTCAAGCGTTGTCGTTGCGTTTGAGGAGGGGAGTTCCTGGTTGAGTGGATGTCTCAGGTGATACCCAGCCTTGGCGGAAGTCAAGGCGCGATCGCGAAGCATGGCAACAAGCTGCTGGCAGAAGTTTGAGGAAACACCAAGGGGCTGCAGCACGTCAACCACTTCCGTGGCCAGTGCATTCTGTCGGTCGTTGAGCCATGCCTGACAGGATGACGGCCCACCCAGATACTGCTCAAGCAGGTGAAGCTGTTGGAGAATGTGAGCGTGGCGTACGCTTACTCTCAGAATCTCAATGCTTGTGACTCCTCCTCCGCCACCAAGCACACTTGCTTGCTTGAAAACCGCCTCCATATCCTGACGGCCCATTCCAAGTCCCAGCGCCACAGTTTCCAGCGTTTCTTTGCACGAGGTACCCTTTCCAAGGCGCTCCACAAAGGCATCCAAGCCAGCCTCGGCAGTACCAAATCGTTGAACCAAGCGCGTGCGGAAATCCAAAACAGAGCGCACCGGCTGGAGAAATTTCAAGACTCTCACGAAGTCGTCCCTCCCTAAGGCATCGTCAGATTCAATCGTCAGCACGGCAGCCGTGATCCGCTCTGCGTCAATAGTTGGAAGACTCAGTGTGCGGACGAGTGCATCCCGCAGGGGATCTCTCTCGAGGGTATCACCTCCCAATTGCTGAAACGCTCGAAGGGCTGAGCCCTTCTTCAGCAGGGTGGCAAACGCCGATCGTATCTCTGACCATATCAGAGCGTACTGCTGCTTGTCTGCACCGAAAAGCGAAAGCCTCTGGGCCAGTTTGCTCGACTCGCGCTTCGCAAGCGATTGCAGCTCGATAAGGTCAGGTTCACTCAGCTCAGGCGCATGGAGTGTGGGTGTCTTTTTCCTGTCAGCCTCATCTCTCGAAGCATAGCTCGTCCAAGCCACCTGCACAGCAGACGTGAATGATCAACGCGCGCCGCCCGCGCCGAAGGCGCTAGAGGGCACAGTTTTCCTATCACAACACGGTTCAGTGGATACACCTTTCTCGCACTGTATGAATCCACGAACATACCCTCTCCGAGATGCCCACGGCTTGACCTTGAAGTTACATCTAGCAGTAAATGCGCATGTAGTTGAATAGAACAGGCGTGTGTCGTGCCCTGCGTCAGGCAATTGCTCATCTTGTGACGTTGCTTCATCTCTTCATACCTTCGAATGCAGACAATAGCCCGGTGTACTTGGTACTGGTAAATTAGTCGGGACTGCCGCCTAAGAAGCAATCAGGACAAACGAGGTGCCGCGCGACTGCTCATCCGGTGCGTACCCGCTTCTCCAATAAAGGGCAGTTGCGGGCTAGAGATTTCTTGTCGGTTCCCTGCATGGCATGCCACCGGGGACATTCGAGACACGGCACCTAGGATGAATGCCACAGCACGAGAGCCACCGCTGGTCGCGGATACAGGATGGCAAACCCTAAACCCTTTGCAATGAGATGATGGATGGCAAGCCCTAAACCCAAATGGAAGTGACAGATGACCGCACCCAAAAAGACATGATGGATCATGATGGATGTAAGGTACTATACCCTAAAAAAGGATAACTCTGGCCAACTCTACGCAACGACATGGTTGATGCGTCACCCTAAACACGAAGAGGAAAATGATGAATGGAAACCTTGGTTAGCAAACAGATACTGGACGGCAAGCCTGAACCCGAGCAAAGCCGTAAAGCCTCAAAAGGTGGAAGCTAACCCTCATAAACCCTAGAATGAAAACATCGGACCCAAGCCCTGAAACCTGAAAGAACATGAAGATTGCAACCCCAAAAGTAGGATGGCCATCTCGAAATCCCTAGGTAGACATCATTGAATAATGACGATGGATGGCATGATGGCAACTCTGAACCCCAACGGTGGCAGACTCGAACTCCCGAAGGAAATGCTGGATGACAAACCCCTGAACCCTGAACCCCCAAAGGAAGGACGGACGGCAAACCCTAAACTGAGAAGAGAGTGATTCCCACTTGCATCCCGGCTTTTGCACCCTGCCACGCCTTGCCACTCAACTTCCCATCAAGCTCGCCGAGACTGGATGATTGCCTCAGCACGCTTGAAGCTTTTCGTCCCGGTCGCCACTGCAAGGGAGAGGCCTCGCGCTCCTCAGCGCCCTCTTTGCCAACGACTGTCAAGGCTGGCAACGCTACGGCCTCCTTCTTGGGCATGAGCTTTGTGGTAAGCCCGACCTTCCTGACGGCCTTTGCAAACAGTTCTTTGCCCGCAAGGCGCGCGCCAATAGCAAGGGCTGGAAGCTCTTTCCCATCCTCTGTTAAGGCTTGAAGGTTCGAAGGACCTGCAACCACCAGACCCGTTGCTTCCGCTTCCCGCGCCTTCGGCTTGGCTGCAGCTTTCACTTTCGGAAGCTTGGACTCTTCTTCCACTTTGTAGCCAAGATGTACCTTGAGCTCTCGGCACCCATGCCCGAAACCTGCCAAGGCTCGCAAGGCCAGCTCTTGAGGGACTGCTTTCCCCTCGGACTGGCGATGGCCATCTAGGTGGAACAGGGCCTTCAGATTCTCTTCGCTCAGCTTCTTCATCGGCGTCATGACATACATAAAGCGGTTTCGCGTCATGGGTTCCCAAGGGTTGATGTCTGGGCCAAGCACCATGTTGTCAAACACTTTCAAGAGGGCTGCATTGAACTGCATCTCCGTTTCAACATGTAGACGTTTTTCGAGCAAGGAGAACCTCTTTATTTCTTCCCTGCTTGACTCGGACGTTGCCAAACTGCTTCTCCTCGACCGGCTGCTCGCCTGGCTCGCCTGGCTCGCCTTGCTTGTCGTCCTCCCGTTGGCAGGTGGAAGGAGCTGGGAGGGCCGTCTCGGCGCCAGGTCCGCATCGGAGCCCGACTCAGAGCTCGAAGTGCCTTGACTGGCAGCTTCACTCGGCTCATTGCGAGATTGGCCCAGATGATCAGCATTCAGTCCGGACAAGGCCAGCGAGCCTCTTCCATGTGCGCTGGAAGACTTGGACTCTGTCGCGCGTGCCACGGCGACGGCAGCGGGCGCAACTCGTGCCACGAAGCTGTTCCGACGATTAGATGTGACACCACCGAGTGCTGTGGCATCCACATGCCGGCTAGTGCCACCTGTCGAGGTGGAATGTGCGATCAGCCATGCAGACTCGCAGGCTAAATGCTCAGCACCGCGCCAGGCTTGCTGTACGGTTCGGCCTGGCAGCGGAAGGCAGACTGGACAAAGCAGTTTGGAGACTCTTCATATCTGAAGCCTGCGGCAAGTCCGGCAGCTGGAAGTTGAATTTGTGGTTGTCCTTCGCTTTAGCATCCATGTAAAAGTCTCACAACGCACGCCTCTCCCTGCTCGTTTTGTCTCCCAGTCCGGCAGCCCTTCGTTGACACGTGGAGCTTTCGCCTGCTGCCGCAACACCGGCATGATTGAACGTCGTCGCGTTTCGTGTTGCACGATGTAAGTGGCTGGCCTGAGCATAAGCAGCATGAGGTGCGTGAGCCTCTGCCACGGCTCGGTCGACCCCTGCCGGTTGTCTGCCGCGACTTTGGAAGACAGCAGCATCAACGCAAAACACGTGACTCCAGGCCCGAAACAACATGACGTACAACCTGCTCCATGCCTTGAAAAAGGTTCGTCAAGAGGTCCTCCGTCAGTGCCGCCGCCCCTCTCCGAACTCCTCACGGCTTTCAATGCTCTGCGACATGTGCGCGGCTCTCATGCCGGCGCTGGGCTCTGCACGTTCCAACCTCACACCCAGGACAGGATTGGCGGGCAGACTGGGCAGGGCTGCGCCGTTGGCATCGTGACCTGGCCAGACTGCGCATTGGAAGGTCTCAAGTTTTTTTGGCCATGCGTTCTGATTCCGCCGTTTGTAGCAGCTTGCTTCTATGGGACACCATTTGGACCAGCAAACATGCAAGCGTCTGCCCGGCTTCCCATGAGTAGCTGGCAGTCTCGAAAGTTCAATATTTCGTCACGAATGCTAGTATAATGAAAGTTGCAGGGTATGGTGCCACGTCAATTCATGAAGCTGTTCCACTTGCACCAGCGTTCTCGAGTTCTCCGATCAGTCTTCCCCTGTACACGGTATACGGGACGTGTCGAAGAGCTTTGCTTCGCGAATGGTCACTCGGTGCTTGCATCTTGTGCGAACCAACAACAACATTCGCCGACACCGAGCAAGCACAGAAGAGATTCTGCAAGTGTGCACGGACTTGCCGTGTTGCCCCGGCATATGACTGCGAGTCACAACCACACGGCACAAATGCCGATAAGAAATCGATACCGTGAGTGTGCAGGTGAGCTGGTTGGCTTTGGTTGGCCATTGCCCTGGCTACTCGTTTGGTGGTGGCAAGATGTCAGGTGCCTGGCCTTGTATTGCCTGTGAATGGGACTCCTGTCTTTGGAAGCAGCTGTGAAGGAGCGTGACCCGGTCAATGAGAGCATCGCAGATTCCAGGCATGCTAAGCTTCAACGCGCGCGAGAAGTTGCAAGTGTTCCTGCGCTTTGGCCAGTTTTTTGTGTCATGTGCTGGTGGCATGTAATTGTTGGTGGCAAGTGACTGTTGGACATCACTGCACATCCATTTAGGGCTACCGTAGTGTCCAGCTGCGCCTATGTGGTAGCACGTCACGCATGCTGGCGCCTGCTCAACCACGTTCGTGCTTGAGCTTTCCATGTGGTCAGCCAGTCTCATAGCATCGATGTAGCATGGTGAAGCCATGGTCAAATTCATCTTCTTGAGGCCATTCGCCAGTGGACATCCTCTTTTTATCTACGGGCGCCAGCAATGCTATAAGGGGCTTCTACGGGAGCACGGCCAGGCTCGATTGAAGAATCGCCTCTGCAGGCAGAGACTTTCAAATTTGTGGCAATCTGTTGTCCGACCGGGTAAGTGCCTCCCACTCCTCTGCCAATTCTCGAATGGAGACCGGTGCACCCGGCTTGAGATGTGTAATTCACATGGACACCACACTGAACGTCAGGTGCTTGCAATCAAATCTTCGAGATGCCAGGAGAAAGAGACAGATGGAAGAAGAAAGAGTCGTCAGCATCAGTTCTTGTACCTCTGCACTGTGGAACTCTCGAGTTGCCGCTTTGCGCAGGAGCCACAGGATCCGAACTGTTTGGGAACCTGATGTGATGGGTCATGCCCAATCATTTAGTTGAGCATTCTGACCGACTTGGAAGTTTCAAATTCCTATTTCAACCAGGGGTCGCTTCTTACTAACTGGTCCGTCGCAATGCCAGTTGGAATCTTCTCGAGAGCCAACTCTCTAAAACCTGTCTCTTCCTTTAGATATGCCTGGCCGGCCATTCTGCTTGATGACATTGTGCACCAGCACGATGTCTAGTTCACGGAACCGACGTGGGCTGCACTGACGTGGATGCCACCGTGTACGAATGCGGCCGGCCATTTAGGTCCCTGGCCCAGCATCTCCATGAGCTCCTCACGGAAGACTTCCGCAGCTTGCAGGCCTCAAGCCGGTGCCAGCGCTCCATTAGGCTCAGAGAACCGGGAAGTCGCCTTCGGCGAGGACCAGCGATTTGAAGAAGGCAAGCCGTGTCACCTGCTGCGAGGCAAGGTCACAGCAGGCCCCAGAAGACAACGACGAAGAACTGCACCCGCCGTACCTGATCGATGTGGCCTCAAGGCAGATGCAAAGCAAAGGGAATCGCGATTGGCGGTCCGATGAGGCCTTGATTGTCTGGCTCTTGCCCGTCTTGAGTTGAGCCTCAAGGTGTCCAGCCCTTGCTGGAGGAATGGTGCCCGCGCCCCTCACCCCCAATCAGGAAGTGGACTGGATACTTCGTTGTTCCTTGCCATCTTGAAGAACAGATTCCGTGCCTTGCAGAAGCCATGTTCACTGCCTGTGCTTGGGTGAACCTTGCAGCCTTGCAGGCTGTCCTCCCGGCCAGACACACCGTTCTCAAGTAAGAAGTCACGGAAACTCACCCGATCCAGCACCTCAGCTCCCAGAGTGATACCCACAAGTCAATCCGCCAAGCAGCCAAGCCTCAAAACGACGAAGACGACATTCCATTGTGCTGCTTTGCTGGAGAGCCACGGGCCACGAGCTCAAACGAAGTGCGTCGTGTGGTGTCTGCATTCTGCTCTTCACGACCGGGGGTCTGGCATGCCGCTTCCCGAAGGCAGCAGCGGCACTCGCCTCAACGACCCAGGGGCTCAAGGCATCTCTGCGAGTCGGCGAATGCGCCTCGCAAGTGCCATATTTCAAGCGCAGCCTGGGCAGGAGTCTTGTCACTCCACGTGCCATGACACTGTTCTGCCACTTCGCGACTGAACGCTTCGAAGCAGCAGGACCCAACTCTCTCCGATCTGAAAGAGCAGGTAAGGCAAGCGACTACCTCCTTACACGACTGGAACAGGTCGATCTACAGATGCCTTGCTCTCAGCTGCTGGAGCGTCCGGATGGAGATTATTCGCCGCAGTGCCTGAAATGACTTGCTGACGAAGATCAGACTGCCGTGATGCACATTGAACGCAGCTGTCCTACCCACTTCGGATGCCTCGTTGAACTCCGGGCGTTCGAAGTGTGGGGTCTCCTGCAAGACGAATATCCCACCCCCGCTTCAGCCCGTGTTAGCCCCAAGTCATGAGCTCCTTGGAACAGCAGAAGTGAAAAATGCTGGGGGAAAAGTCAAACAAAGTCTTGGAGCTCCTCTTTCGCCTTCTCGGAACGCCTTAGCGTTCTCGCTCCTGCGCTCAAGGCGAGTAGCGCGAGTAGCGCGGGTCGCTGGGAAGGCTGTGGCCACTCCCAGGGTCCTCCTTGATTCCGCCTCAGCGCAGCACGCATGACGTGCAAAGGACAAAAGGGTATGTCTTTGAAGCCAAAGCTCGGCTCTTTCGTTGTTTTGCTCCGGAGAAGCAGGCTGAACCTTTGATGGATGACAAGGAGGGTTTTCTGCGAGCGCCAGGCCAGGCGATGGGCCCCGGACATGCTCTGAGCATCTTCGTCACTGAAATTCATCCTTGAACCGCGGATTCTAGCATAGCCCGATGGCTGCAAGATGCAGCTTCCGAGAAAAGCACATGTTCACAAGCTGTCGGAAAACTTCGGCGGTCATGCCGGTCAGAGCCGGGACAGACCTTCTCACAGGAAATTTCACGGCTCGAGAGCATGAGCAGAACAAGAGCTGCAACTGCCCCATGCCCCACCTGATGTATGCACGATCGATACCACCAAACCTCTGGATCAGCTTCGCACGGCAATTGCGTAGCCTGATTTCAAAAAGAACGATTCGTACTTCTTGGCACACGGGCATGTCTTGGGAAAGCGACAACAGCAAGGCTTGGTGCGACGGAGTCTTCTCAAGCCACACATTTGTCTCCTCTGACAGGGATGCAATTCGGTCCTATTCCATGCACAAAGAGTGGGCGTCACGCGCCCGCCTCTGGGTTGGACCGGTTGGACGATGCACCTGACCAGCGGCGATCTGGCCTGCAGGCCGCATGCAGCCGGGCTGGGAGGCACCAGAAAGGACCGACGTCTGCCTTGCAACTCCTGGCCCCACTCCATCTTCACTGTCGCCTCATACCATGCCACAGGATTGTTCAAAGCTTGGCGCGGCAATTCGATGCAAGGTCGAAGCAGTCGCATGCCTCAAAGCACTAGAGTGTGCAGCAGTGTAGGGGGATCTGTACTATTTGAAATCCGTTTCCCCTCGTCGAAACTTCACATGCTGAAAGGACTGAAATCTGCCAGCACATCTAGGAAGTATGACTTGGAACAGCTTTTCCGGAAAAGTTACGAAGTGAGAAATGGAGACAAAGCACAGCCCGACACGACATGGAACCAAGAAAGAAACTGCTGAGGCCTGTAGCAGCTTGGTCTGTAGTTCACCTTCTCTTAGTACAATTTACAATAATATGGCAGAAATATTTCCTCGAGCATCCAAGACGCCATGATCCAACAAGAAACCCGAATTGCGAAAGGTTAGCAGAGAGCCGTTATGCAAAACTGAGGGTCCGACTCAAACTTTGCCTGGCTGAAACAAATCACGCAAGGCTTCCCCCAGTTGATGGAACCAGCATCCAGAGTGTAAGTTAACTTCCAGAGATCAGGGCTCCCGGATGTGCGGCCGCATTCAGAATGAAATTCCAGCACTTGCAAATTCAGAACTCGGCTAAGCAAATCGAGTAAGAGGCACATTCTTGGAAGCTAAGTTCGATTAACGCTGAGGTCTTCCACCCCCTGCGGCTCTGCCCTTCGATGTGCTTGTGATGGCCTTGCCCCAACCAGCCTATTTTGGAAAATCCATATGCAAAGGCTTGAACTTGCTTTGCTTCTCGCAGAATGTGGTCTTCTGAAACTCCCGGCATCTGGCATCTTAGCACTGGCCCCGCATGACGTAGATTTTACATCCGTCGCTGCGGACATCTGTGAACGACGCTAGATGCTCAGAATCCACCACACAAGTGTCGAGCCTTCGAACAAGGAAGTGCCCTGGGCTGGGGCTCAGGCCCAGCATCACGAGCACCACAACCGAAAGTATTTCAAATTTCGCTAACTCGGTGCGGTCGTTAAGTGTTGCCACGCCCCACATCCCTTAGTTTGGTCGATGCCTGTCTGACAGCGAATCCAGGGATGGCTCCTTCACCATTGCAGGCTATGAACCGTCAGTAACACAAAACAGCAAGGAGTCGTGCATCCGCGCTCCCGAAGCTCTTCCTTGAGGCTTCTCCGTTTACCTTCAAAGTCACTCGTCACTCACTGTCGCCAAGATCTATGGAAGGGAAGACCAAGATGCTGACTGTCACCAGTCTCCTCTCCGAATGCGTATAGATCAGAGTATGATCATGGATCAGTTCGGCGAAAGCAAGACACCCCGAGCCCCTGCGTCGTCTCCTCCGTCGAGGCAGCCTTGACAATCCAAACTTAGGCTTCTACACAGCGAGAGGACAGCAAAAACCGAGCCCGAAGCATCCAGCCTGGTGTCGACAGGGCTCAGGCAACTTCACGTGTCTACATCTCTGCGTCTTCGGCACCTACTGGACCTCAAAGTCATCCTGGCCTAGGCGGGCGAGCACCAATTCAGTTTCAGTGACGTTATGGTGCATAGCAGAACTTTCTCATCCGGCAATCAGCCCAGACACCGAAACCTGGAGACACGCCCACGTGGGCGTTGTCTCTACTTTTTTCACAGTTACGAAGCGATAGTTTTGTCTTCGGTCCGTAAAGTATTCTGCATCCTTCTTTGCATGTCTTGGAGATGCAAGCCATGGTTACATGACTCGAGAGTTCGGACTTGGAGTGGGTGATGCACCTTGTCAATTGAATGACCAATGTGCTCCACCCTTTCCACATCTGTCTAACACTTTGAGCAGGCCGACGGTTACTTCGATTGCGCTTTCTCAGCTTTTGTCACTTGGGTACTTGTGCTTGCTGGCAATCAGGCTTTGCTGCGGCAGCGTGAGTTGTACCTGCTGAAGCTTCTTGATGCATCGTCGATCATATTTCCGGACGTCCGACAGACAGTTGGTGGGCACCGCAGGACCTGTGCAACAACTTTCTGAATGGAGACTATTCTGCTGCCGCATATTGGGTTGCTTTACATATCCGTCCCACTTTTCGGCTGCTTTCACACATGTGTCTGCAAGGAAAAGGACAACCTTAAAAGAAGTCATTCCCGTTTGAAGCTTGCGAGCCTTGTGACCCAGGGCAGCCTGCGGCAACAGTGTCTTGCGCTGGCTACGCCTCAGTCAGAATTGCAAGCACAGTCCGTGGCTCTGCTCCCAACTGAGGCTATGGCCCTATCTCCAAATGTCTTGAGAGCGGCTCAGATGCCGGAGAGGCCTCGCCGGACCTGCCACGAATTACAGCAGCTGATACAGCTAATGCAGGGCATGCCGTCGCCGCGCAGACAACTGCGGAGATGGCTTTTAGCAATCGCTGCAGCTTGCACCATGAGCATCACCAATACTCAATACCCCTCCCCTGCAGCTACTCATGCAGAAGCACGTCCCCATGCACAACTCGCGGTTGTGGTGAAACAGCTGCATCAGTTCACTTGGCACCTTGCTGCCACAGAGGAATGCCGACTGACAGGATGCTCCAGAGATTGCAAGCCAAAGCACGGACACGTTTCACGACCATGATACGCGTCTCCACCACGTGGTCCTTCGTCTCGACGCACTGCCGTTTCCTGGCAGATGCGCAAGCTTTCGAAACAGCTTCTGTGCAGCAGAGTGGCCTGGTGACACTCGTGCTTTGGAGCTCTTTCCCAGTCTTTGGGCAGTGCACCTGTTCGAACCACAACTTAAGTACTTCTGGTCTTCGCGATTTGTGGCGGCGACAATCGCCTTCTCTCGCATTGTCTCGCAGTGGTGGCTGGTTCTGCAAGCACGGGACTGGCAGTGACAATTCTTGGACTGCACTGCCTGAGTCGGGTTGAGCAAAACTTTGAATCGATCAACGAGAAGCCCTGTCCTCTCACGTGGCATACTTCCCAAGGTTCGCTGAGATGCTGGGGCCACTTTGTGGCTGCCTGGCTTTTGCCTGGGCAGACATGCTGGAAAGCACGTGGCTTCCGTGAAACATCCACTATATACGTCACCAAGCGAACCGACGGTGCCAAACAAGATGCTTCCCTCGCAGCCTCTTGCGCAGCGGAACTTGGCAGTGCTCCTCGCGACCAAGACAAGGACAGGCCATGCCACCTAGGGGAACCCTGCAAAAGCAAGGATTCATTTTGCACATACCCCACTGTTGCAACAAACCTTTGTAGTCGTAGTCGTAGTGGTAGTGGTAGTGGTTAGTGGTACTGGTACTGGTACTGGTACTGTATTGGTAGCGGTGATGGCAGCGGTAGTGGTAATGGTACCAGTACGTAGTAGTTGTAGTAGTAGTTGTTGTAGTAGTAGTAGTAGAAGCAGCAATAG